CGAGCTTGCATTGCTGGCCGCGCGTCGCAACGCGGCAAAATTATAATTTATATTTTCCTTAACTAACCTCTACTAACTAGTAGTAGTGGCGAGTAAGGGTCGATCCCACAGGGAGTGTGTATCAAATCGTTAATTTTCTTGTATTAATTGAATTATAAAAGCGATAAAGGGGTGTAAAATATGATAAAAATAAAATCCTAATAAAATAAAATAAAATAAAATAAAATAAAATAAAATAATTCAATTAGTACTTAAAAATCACAATTCAATAACGCCACTCCCCGACAACGGTGCCAAAATTTGACCGCGCGTCGCAACGCGGCAAAATTAAAATTTATATTTTTCCTCGACTAACCTCTACTAACTAGTAGTAGTGGCAAGTAAGGGTCGATCCCACGAGGAGTGTGTATCAAATTGTGGCTTTTTCGTATTAATTGAAATTAAGAAAGCAATAAAATATGGGGGATTGGATTTAATAACTAAACTAACTAAAATTCTAATGAAACAAATAAAATCTAAACAAACGAAATAAAAATAAAAATAAAATAAATAAGAGAAATTTCTAGTTCACGGTTCCGTCTACACCCTCGACTGACTCATCTAATCAATTCTGGTATCAAATCTCGCTATCTTATGAAATTACTAGCCCTAGGTAACGACACGGTCTGTTACCCGAATTTTTCCTTATTTTTAATCTAACCGCGAGACGCTCTACGATTAAATCTGACCTCTTGAACAGTCTAGGAAACGCTTCCTAAATTTAATTCAATTAGCCGCTTTACGATCTAGAAAAATAGGCTAGACTAAGTAGTGACGCATGCGTTCACTTAAATAGGCCGTGTTATCCCCGGTAGTTACCATCTTCCGGATACCACTTGCGAATTAAACACATCAACAATTACGGATTGAAGGCCTAATTCAGGTGTAGATATGTAAAGCCTAATCTAGGTGATCAATCTAAATAAGACTCAACACATCATGGTTAATTATTCAAAATAACACAAACAATTCCAAAAAGATAACTCAATAATCAACCAAGAAAATTAATCAAACATCGTCAAGTCGTAGGGTTCGACATCCCCGGAACTAGAATAAAATCTACTCTAACATAATAAATAAAAAATAAATAAATAAAAGAGAGAGATTAATTATCTCCGTCGTGTACGAGTGCGGCTTCCCTCCGCTTTTGATCGGGTTCCTCGCGTTGCTCTGCCCGTGCGTGACTTTTTTCTTTTTTCCTGTTTAATCTCTGGCTGCGTGGTGGCTCTTCTATTATATGTATGATCGCTGCCTGTTTGGATGTCCCAAATAAATCCTCTTAAATATGGCATTAGTGGTTGCCCTTCTCAAATAAATCCTCTTGATAGAATAATTCCTTCCTCGAGTCAAATAAATGTCCAGCCCAAATATTTCACCTCTCTATTGCGTGGCCTCCTTTGGAAAATATTCTCAGCCAAGTAAAATTCAATTCATCTTAATCTTGGGCCCCACTGAAACATGAACTTTAAGACCATTACTTATTATATAAGCCCACATCAAAATATCTTACTTTATTTGGCGCTAAATCGGTGGGTATTGAGAAGGCCCGATAATTGATCACGTAAACATCCGTCCAATATTGCATCGTTCATGAAAACACCCCAATATCCTAAAATAAACCATAAAAGTATCAAAGTACAAGAATCCATCCAAAGAAATAAATAAGTCGGAAAATATAGAAGTGCGACAAAATTAAGCATAGAAAAATACGCTAATAAATATATAAACTACACACCTTTTCCGACCAATCAATTGCCTGAGGGATTGTAGTCACGTTAAGTCAACATGGCGTCGACTCCTCCTACCTCAACACCATGCTCTCTTTTTCACCCTAGACCTGCGAGTATGGGTGAGTCAA